GTCTCGATCGGCATCGTATCTTATCCCGTGTAAAAAGTATACCCTATCGATCGATAAGCGCTGCAAGCGCTGGAAATTAACCGTGCCTCGCGGTTTCGTCCGCGAGATAATAACGAAGAAGAGAGAAACGGGGAAACGAGGAAACGAGGAAACGAGGCATAAAATTAAATCGATGGTCCCGTGGAGCAAACGACGAATACCGTTTAACCGAGAGTTGGCTCGGTATCTCTGGCTAGACGAATAGCGACGGACAAACGAGGAGTACACCGGGGAGGGATAGATGCAGCGATTCGGTCTGCCTTGGACGGAAATTAGGTCCAGCCGAAGGTTCCACGGACGCGGACAAGGCCAACGCAACGGAGGAGCCAGGCCGTCGAAGATGATATCTGACGGCAAACAAGCCGGCACGTTAACGAGCCCACGGGACCAGAGGGAAACGACGAAAAGGGCCGATACAGACGGGGGGCTGAAACGACCGAGAAAAACCCCGATGGGCGCCGAACAAATGCCTTGTCCGACGGTGACAACTTCGATGAGACGACGATGCTATCTGGGTTCTGTTAGGTAACCGGAACGGACTCGTGTCTCCGACGCTGGTTGCAGGCCTAAACGATCCTCCGGATCGCGTGGGCGAGCCCGAAGGTGTCCGGTGCTGTCGCGAAAAAATCCCCGTAACCGTGTCACGTGGCCGAGGCTGGGGGAAGAGTCGGTGTGTAAAAAGGTTCCTCTCTGTCTGCGTGCACGCGCGATTTAAGGCGGCTGATTTTCCAGAAACGCGATTCCCCAGCTCGTTTCTGGTATAAACAATATTGTAATTGAGGATTAACGAGAGAATAGCATGCGGCCAGCTACCTCGTTTACCGAGGGGAATCGATTCGCTGAACAACGTTTAGCAGGGGTTCTCAGCGACACTGAAAACGCTGCGAGCGATCAGCGAAGGAAAATCAACGTCCTTTGCTCGACGTTTCCTCGAGCGGATCGCGTTTAAGGGATGCTCGATCGTTCGCTAATCTCTCGGAAATCACGGTGTCGACCCCCTATTTAGTGGATTCCAGCAAAGCCATCGACGAGCGAACGACTTCCTCTTCTCGACACGCGATCCGACTCGAGACGAATCGCGAGTGAAAGTCGAAGACACGAAGCGTTGCAGCGAGCTGCGTTTCTACTTTTACGCTACGCGTGAAAATTCCTGTCGTCTTGCTCGAGGTCGCGGCTGTGTTCTTCCCGCGATTCATCGCGTTTAGAATTCCCCTAGCGACTTATCTCGTCGCCGGATCGATATCCGCTTGCCGATCGTGGAAACATCGCGCGGATCGAGGAAAGATTCGTTGCAGTTTCCGCGTCGTTCGACGCCGTTCGACGCTGTTCGTCGCTGTTCGACGTTGTTCGACGTTGCTGCACACCAGCGTCGCGGTGATTTCATTGTCGCGACCCGATAGCGATCGCTATATTTGCCAGCGGGCTCGCGCCGCGATACGGACCCGGATAAGGAACGCTTCCGTGCCGATCGCGGTGAAACGCCACGACGTTTGTTTCGAGGGTGTTGCGTTACCGTTTAACGTCGCTTAATTAATACGGAACGCGCGGGCACAAGTCGCGAACGCGAACGAGCCCGATCGAAATCTAGTCACGAACCGGCCGACGTTTCTCATGCGATGAATTTTAAAAGCCGATGACAAATACGCGACCGGCAATCGCGGCCGCTTTAGCGAGAAGAATCCGTGACATCATCGGTGAACGTAAAAATACTCCCGTGATACAGCCGTTTTTTCCACCCATCCGCGTTATTCCATGGATATCAGAGACTCGTCCTGATCTCCAGACTATGGAGTCTGATCGAAGTACTGCAGCGAGTATGCCCATGATTCGCCGATGAAAATCTTCCTAGCTCGTTACATAGGTTTTTGTATATTTAACACCGGTTTATTCGTTATTACCGGTTGATATCGGAGAATACAGACCGGGAGAATTATTAACGGAGCGGTTTGATAGGTCAGGGTTCGCGAAGGAAGCGTATATTATTAACACGCTTCGATCATACGGTTCTATATTTCATACTTGGAGAATTCATCGAGTAGTCGTCGATTATCACTGTCACGGTTTGTACCCGACACCGACCAAACCTAATTTTCGTTGTCGATATGTCTAATCCAGACGAAATCCTTTCGCCGATGATGATTTTAACTTTAATTAGCATAACGTAATTATACATATCCGGAAAGTGCGGCGGAAGCTCACCTTCCAAATAACGTAGCGATCTAATAGCTATCGAGGTCCGAAAGTAGTCCCTGAAACATTGTCTAAATAGCAAATATAACATCGTCGCTTCTCGTTATAATCCCACGTGCCTTTTCGACTCGCGACGATCATCTGGATCGCGGGAATAATAGATCCCCGTCAGATCGCTGTCGAAACATCGACGCGCGATTGCGAGCAACGTCGAAAGCGAAAGTGCAATAAAAAATATAGGAAAATTTTGAACGAGCGATAGAGACGACGATGATTGTCTGTACAGTCCATGGTGATCACCTTGTCGACGCCATAAGGGGGCCAACGGAGGACGTTGAGACGCGGACTCGAGGAACTCGCGACACCGTTTTCCCCCAAGTCCCTACGACCGGGGTGGAGGCACGGCGCGCGCTTTTGATTGTTATTGATCAACCGTTTTGACTGTGGCGTGTACACGCGCACGCAGAAACGCGAGAGGACGAGCACGAGGAGTCGTACACCTATAGGATACACACGCAACCGGAGCGAACTGGCACGCCACGCGGCTCTATAACGCTGCCGCGACACAGCGAATATAGAGACGGCGGACCTTAATGAATCTTTATGGGATGGTGTCGTGAACTTGTGTACCCTTCGGTGACTGACTGAACCCGACCGCCGCTAACCATTGGCGCGCCTCTTTCACCGCGGAATGCTTCTATTCCTGCTTTGTCCGCCAGGCTTTCTCGCTTTTCCTCCTCGAAATTTACTCGACGATCTCGAAGCGTAAGAACGGGGTGATTCGCGGGGTTGGCACGTCCCGTGCGCTCTTCGGTACTCGCTGCGGTAACTTTGCCAGGTAATTTTTCAAGGAACGAGATTAATAACGGAGAATTATCCGAGTGTAGCGAGTAGCAGGTCGATGAGTTAACGAAGTTCGGAAGAATGGATCGGAGTCGGTAGTCGTGATAATTACGGGTACTGAAAGATTCAGGGAACGTGGAATATCTTCGACAGAATCGAGTTTTTGCCCATCAACTCGCGTGATCGAATATTTAAGCGAACCGATCGGGAAGATGGAAGTTTCTAACATTTTACGTATTTTCACATTACGAATGTATAAGTCGCGAAAGAAGGACGGAAAGATTTATGGCGACAATTGTGCCTGTTAAAAGATTCGAGGAATAAGGAATATCTTCGATAACCTACGGATCAATTGATTAATTCTAGCGTTCAACCCCCGAGACACGACTTATGTAATCGAGCACATAATGGAACGAGTTTAATCGAATCTTCCACTGGAAATTCTTCGCGTTTCGCAATTACGATTCCATAAATCGTAGAGGGAAGGGAGAAGTCCTATATATATTCGCAGATTCGATAACTCGCGGAGACTAAATTTCAACCCCCCCGCCGGACACGACTCGCGTAATCAAGCGTGTAACCGTGGTAAATTTATTCGAATAACCTATCGGTGATTCTGTAGATGGGAACGCGTAACGAGTTCGTTAAAAAATAAAAATAAAAAGGAAAAATAAAGAAGGGAAGTACTACGCCAATGCGACGGGTTGCTCATTAGCCCCGACGCTGGCGTTGCCGCGGCTTTGATAGCGTTGACGCGTCGGTGTTGGTAAAATTTGAAGGGCGTGCAGGAGGTCCGTGGGGTCCCGACGAGTCGCGTCTTGATTGTCATCAAGCCGTTGCTCGTCGCGTGATATTGTCATTAGCGCGCCAAGCCCAGAAGAACGTTGCGCCTCCCCTCTGTCGAGTCCACGAGCAGACCCACTTCGCGTTTCGTCCATCGAGCCGCGTCGATCGATCCATTCGAAAGCTTCTCACGATCCGTCGCCCTCCACCGCGTGGATCTTCGGGTTCGTCGATGAACATTCGATAAACGTCGCGCTATCGATGAGAAATCTGTCGAGGCTCGTTGATTAGGCGAATAATTTCGTCGTATTTTATTTACCACCAAACGCGTTCCAAAATTACAAACACGAACAGATTCAATTCGTATCTCATTCCACGAGCTGTTTTCCCGCTGCTTAATTTCGACGATAACACGGACTGATAGAAACGGGAAAAATGATTCGATTAACTTCGACACGAAGCGCGGGAAGAGAGGTTGTTGCAAATGGATTCGAGCAATGGATTCGATTCGATTAACTTCGACACGAAGCGCGGGAAGAGAGGTTGTTGCAAATGGATTCGAGCAATGGTGAAAATTCGTCGATTCTCGCTTTTCGATCTCGTAGACTAACAGGAAATGTTTCTTTCGCCCACCTAAGTCGAATTTGGAAAAATGTCGTTAACTATTAACGGTGTCTCGAGGTTCGAAATCGAGTAAACACGGATGGTGGCAGGTTACATCTAACGACGATGGGAACAGATAATTTATGGTAATTCGATTCCCGACGAAATTGAATTTGGATCTTCCGTCGAATGGCTCGAAAGGTTTCATAGCGAATTCACCGGCAATTTTTTATACCACTTGGGGGAATATTCATCCGATAGCGAGTTAATTATCAGCTATGGTCGATAGCAATTACCAAAGAATCGTTAGTATCGCGAGCTTTCGTATGAAAAGTTGCACCGGCTTGTAAAATTGAAATTCCGCAACAAGAGAGAAAGAAGCATTTTTTCACTTTTTGAAATAAACATGTTCCATATAACGATCTTTCACGATACGAATCTAATCTCGAAATCGAGTCTGCCTCGATAAGGCGAAAAGCAGCGACGTTCTCTCGAAGAATGAAGGAAGAAAAGAAGAAAAAGAAGAAACGGTGTAGACTTACCGGGATCCGAGGAGTCGAGACTGGCGGGTGCTTGTTGGCTGAGGGGTCCTGGCGTGCCCCCGCTTCCGGGGCTGCGTGCGTCGTCGTTGCCACCCGCACCGGGGTACGAGAGCGACGAGGAGGGTGGCCTCTGCAACGAAGGTAAGAACGGGTACGGTAAAACGATAGGCTGCAAACACGGTGCTTATACGCTTTGCTCGTGTCGCGGGACGCACGAAACGAGCACGAGGATCGCGCGACACGATCGTTCGAAAGGGGTCTTTTCTTCGCTTTTGCTCCAAGCACACACGCGTCACGTCCACCAGGGGCCGGAGGGGGTTGTTTCGAGGCGTACGCGCGCAATACCGTTGCCCGTCCACGGAATACCATTGACGAGGCCGCTTGCGGCCGATTTCGATCTCGATTAAAGGCGGAGCACACGTACCAACTCCTCGAAAATGCCCACGGCATAAACGATTCGACGACGCGCGCGTCCTACGAATCGACCGCGCGCCAACCGCTGAATATTCCCGGCCGTACGCTCGCTTATTCCGCGGGTGTAGCCGTGTGATAATCACGGAGCCGCGAACCTGCCCGTTCGGGAAAATACGCACGGCAAATTGCCGTGTGGCCCCCGTGAGAGGAATACGCGACTAGGGGCCCACGTTCCCGTGAACGGGGCCTAATTGTTCCGTTTCGGATCGGGGATTACGATCGTTCGTGCCTCGCAGAGGCTTCGCGATTCTTTATTCCGAGAAATTACATTCGCGCGATGCAAATCCTCTCGCGACCTTCTTTCCAGCGAGAGTGCGGCGCAAGCGGATGGAAACGGGGCTCGATCCTGATCCAGTGATTTCAGTGAACGATGTTTCGTTTTCGCGAATATCTCGCTACCCGGTATGCTTCGTTTCCCATTTCGTACTTTATTCGTTCGCGGAGATAAGCTGTAGCGGAGATAGGCTAACGAGAGAGACTCGAAAGAACGATCATCCGACTCGAGTGCTTCGTTTCCTAATCGTGTAGTGGAACTTTCCTTCGATCAGCGACACAACGAACGCAGGCAAAATAATAATACCGCTGGATTCTTCGTAGCCTACCTCTAACAAACACCGATCGGACACCCTGCCGCCAATACGAATTCGTTTGCACGGTAATGCCGGGACAATGAAGAACGATGCACCGTCCGAAAATATAACGGCGTTTGAAAATTTCCATCGGTGTACACGGTTTATCGGGGAATTCGGCGCGAGGGAATAGCCGGATCATCCAAGATCGTTCGCCTCCGGCAGATTTGTTTACGCGAAAAGCAACGGTATCGATCGTGGCCCGAGGTCGTAGGATAAGAATTCCAGGCAGACCGGTATCACGAAGCGAAATGTCTGGATATATCACGTCTGCCGGGGCAACAATGAGTGACAGCTACTCCCACATGCTGTCATAGGCGTCATCTTCGCGATAATGTACCGACTCGGTCCCCCTCTCACGATTGCCCGTTCTCGTATCTGGTTAAAATCGTTACACGGTCAAATCTATAGGACCTTCCTGCGGACGGGGACGCGTGCACGCGTCGACCACGACGACCACGACGACGGAGGCACGAGAACGGTCGGGAAGCGACGGTCGCCGACACACGATTCGCCTTGGAGATACGGCGACGGAATCATTGAAATTCCGCGCGAGGCGACGCAACGGAATTTTCTGTCGAATGGAAATCTCTGATTTAAACTGCCTCACTTTGACGCAGGAATAATCGCGTTATCCTGCTTTCCTTCTCCTACGGACAGGTATATGCGTCCCTCGCGTGGAGGTTATGGCTTCGCGTGGGTGGACCAGGGGACGAGGAAAGAGCGAGTTTACGCGAATGACACAGCGGAGCGGAGATGATTTTAGCTTAGGTTACGGACAAAGACGATTAGCTCGGTGACGTGCCCGTTAGATAAACGTCGGATAAAGGTTGATTTAGATTTAACGCTAAAGAGAATTAAATAGACGCGGTTACACACGTTCCAATTAATCTCGCGTAATTCTCGTCCGGGACGTCTTAATTTTCATTAGAAGGGGCCCGCGCGATCGACCGTCCCGGACACGCAGAGGATATATACGTCGCGCGAGCGAGTACAAGAGCGGCAACAAGCGAGGGGGGACATTAATAATGCATCGGTTGTCGCTGGATTGCTTCCTACTAGCAGCAAGTACGAAACAAAGGGCGATGCTTGTCATTGTCACCTACGAGGCGAAGATCATCTTGTCGGCCGCGATCGTACGGATCGGAGAGTCTAATCCGAACGTGCCGACGAATCGATTAAATCTCGCGTTCTTCCCCGCGACTGTACCCCGCGATGAAAAAGAAACACCGTGCATCGTATTAAACGAAAGCTCACGGAGGTCTTCGAAATTCCAACCAGCGTCCAGTTCGATCCTCGCTTTTCTTTCTCCCCGGATTCCTTTATTTTCCTACGCTTTTTCTCCTCCAGACGAGCGAGAAATATTCGAAACGTCCTCGGGAACGAAGCGCATTTCGCGTCATCGGACGACACCGCTTGAAGGTGGATCTTGGCGGTGACGTCACTTCCTACTAAAGTCCCGCCGGTCTTTTTCGTTTTTTAAATGGACAGGCAAGGGTCCGGCTGCGTGACTTGTGTCGATGCAATGATAAACGGTTAACGGGTCGACGGGCTACGCGGTCTCGTTCCACCTCGTTCCCCGGTCCCCCCTCGCTCCCTCTCGCCCTCTCTCTCTCTCTCTTTCATCTACTCATCTCTCTGTTTTTATCTGCCACTCCGTCTACAGGCGCTCTTAAAGCGTAATTCGACAAACCGGATGTCTGGTCTGCCCCTTAAATAAATCAGTTTGCCCGCATCTCATATTCCACCCCCGCTCCGGTGGCCCACGTCCACCCTCCTGTCCCCTTTCCGCATACACGAGGGAAAACGCGGGGTCAGGAGGCGTGCACGACGCCGGAAAAGCGGCGGGCCTAGCGATGACGGCGGGACGCGTGATCGGTGACGAAACCGGGCTGACGCTTGGGTGACGATCACGAGTTTCGGTGAAAGGGACAACGCGTGACTTCTGCTCGCCGATTTCTCGACCGTCCATGGAAATACACCGTCTTCGAGCCGCGGGAACGCGGATCAACGAGCACGTTGCTTGTGCCGATCCTGCAAATCCGCGAGAGACCGCGGATCGACGCGTGAAACGGCGAGAACGGAAAGGGGAAAAACCACGTCGGGAGCACGCGAGAACACGAGGTTGCGCAAGATCGTGTCACGAAACGTGGATAAGGATTTACTGCGTAGACGAGCAGCAACGCGAGGAGGCTGCGGGACGATCAAGTACCGCTAATTGATCGATGATCTGTCAACCACCGCGATTGCTTCGAGCGATCGGTGAATGGCATTCTTCGACAATTTGCGGGAGCATGTTGAATTTTAATACGACTACTCGACGTGGTATAATGTCTTCACTGAACGCGATCGCGTAGGCTGGCATGGAAAAATCGAGAAAAATAATCCGTTTAACAAAAGAGCCAAGTATCGACGACTAATTCAATTGCCGCGGAAATTCGCGAACTGTGTGCCGCGAGTGGCGATAAAACAAGGATTATCCGTCGGAATAAACTCCGTCTGCGCGTTTGTCCCTACGGATCGGGATTCGGCGTGTCAAATCGAAGGATTTTCGATGGACGAGCGTGAGAGGAGCTCGAGGCGCTCGGGCCTGCAGCAAGAGGGGAACAATGCTCGGCGGCAAACCGCGGGAACGGTGTGAACGCACGCGGACGATAAATTATAAAGCCCGATGGTCGAAGTGGCGACGCGCGATGCGCGGTTATCGGCGCGGAGATCGCGAGCCGATGACTTACGCGCTCGTACTTCGCGCTGCGAGCTCTCTCGAGAGCGCGAGCGCGCCCGCGCGCGCCTCCGAGTCATTGTACCCACGTATTAATTGGTCGTCGTAACATAATGCCGTATAATTATGTAATTAGCGGCCGAGCGTTACTCTCGCTGACTGGTTTACGGGCGAGATACGTAAATCTCCGCAATTAATTTATTGGTGCTCCGGAGAAAAGCGAGCAGGCGTCGCGCGAGTGCCGAAGACGGGACAGGGACAAAGAGACGAAAAGAACGGGAGCGAGGAGGAGGAAAGTACGTATGAAACTACGAAAGAGACGGATGGATCCGAGAGACGAAAGATGGACGAGGATGGCTGGCGCGTTCGTCGGCCGAAGAGGGACGGAGAGGCGGCGCGAGCGCGGATCGTGGAAGCGAGAAAGCGCGAGCTTGAAGCTTCGAGCGTGGCCATCGAGCGAGGCCAAGATTCATCGAGGCTCGGAGCTCGATGTCGGCCTGTCTAGGTCGTTTCTCGACTGGCCGAAGAGGAGGCGGAGAAACAGGCGCAGAGGCCGGCCACGATAGCGAGTGTCGAGGGCGCGACGCGGAATGATCGTCGGCCAGTTCAACGCGAGAGACAAAGATAGGCCAGGAGGAGAGGAGAGAAAGAGAGAGAGAGAGAGGGAGGAGAGTGCCGGGCTGCCAGTTCGGTCTCGCGGTCTTGAATTTCTCGACGATACCGGCGGCCGTCCGCGGCGATCATAAATTACGATTTATTGCGAAGCCAGCGCCTCCGCTCGACGGATTATCTTACCGTTATGTCAGCACGCTACAATTATATTTACATTTTCCTCGGTAATGGAATTCCGGCCGGCTTTGGCGCGGAAGTCGCCGCGATCGCGACCGGAACATCGGATTTTCATGGCCTGCCGCGTTTTCGCGCCAGGCCTCTAACGACTCGTCGTCACCGGCGCTTCCGGTCGAGCGGAGAAACTCGCCGAGAGATAACCGGATGCGCGATCACGTGGTCTCGGAGCAACGATGTTTCCGGGAATTCTTATCTGTGACGTTCGGTTGACGTAACGGGTGGAGGACAGGGAAGCAAATAAGATAAATCAGGTGAGAGACTCGGTTAGGCGAGGTGGAAGATCTCGTGACGCGAACGCGCGCTATCTCGATCGATTGCCGCGCGACGCGTGGTGCCCGATGAATCACCGAAAACCGCGAAAATATTAATTTTCTTCGGGAACGATATGATAGACCGTTTGGCCGGTACTCGCCATTACGATCCATCAACGCCATTTTATCGGCCCGATCGTGGCCA